GCATCTGCCCTGTTGTTTCTGGGAAATACTCTTTTCTGAGTAGCCCACCACCTCTGGCTCATACAATATTTCTGCCTCTTCTTCCACATAGACCTCAGAGCCTCAAAGAGAAGTGTATGATATAGATAACTCATTCAGGGCTGAATGCTCCAAAGACCCTCACTTTTTGCTAAGTGCCCTGTTATGGATCTCTGTGTTATGTACCGTCTACTTCCAGACAAACCTTCTCTGATGAGGGTTCAGCTAGGCACTCTTCTATGAACAGGGAATATGTCATTAGGAGACATTTTATTGCTATGATCACTTAAGAGAATGAATGTATTAGGTTTCTCATGGGGTCCATGATCTTTCTATTCTCAGGTTCATGGTCTCATGAGCAGTATTAGTATATATTCCGTATCAGGAAGCAGACCTTAAATCCAATGGAAAAGTAGTTGCTTATTCACTTAGCATTCATTCTACTTTTGTAACAGAGGGCACATATTGCAAAGAGTCACTGGTAGAGATTGCAGGACTCATAACTGGATGATATCAGTTATTATTCTTGTCCCCTGTTAACATACATGGTGCCTCACAGCAAGTAAATGCTATTCAATAGGGGGTCAAAGCTTCAACCTGAGCACTGACTACTAGATGGCTCCAAGTGTGATGATATAAGTAGGTGGTATTCAGAATAGGGCTTACTTTCATCTTGTGGTAGGAGGCTATGATATTTGGGAGAATGTCTATGAGATTTCTTTGGCCAATGGCTTAAAAAGTCACAACCCATTCCTGGGACTTGGGATTCTGTTTCATAGCATGTGATGTCCAGTTGGAATATTTTCTCCCCCATTATATGAGAACTCCATTTAAATTTCATCTATACATGTATACATTTTAGGAAGCTTCAACAGCCCTAGGTTTCCAGATCACTTTAGAAAAAAATCTTTATTGTTAGATGTTCCTTACCATATTATCTCTTCTGCCCAGCCCTTCCACCCCCATCTCCATTTAATTCCCCTATTTCTAAGGTCCCCTTTATCCCTTTATGGTACATTCTATTCGGTAGAAGAACCAATTCCAGAGCCCAATCTCTTACTTGCTACCTAAGATCTGTGACTGTTTTGAATGAAACATAAATCCACAGCTTTAAATCTAACATACATACCTAAAGGAAAACATCTTCATGTTTTCATTGAATCACAATGGTTGTTTCTAGCTCTCTCTACATGAAAATCTCCCCATCTTTTTTTTTCTTAACAGCTGAATATCACTCCATTATATAAGTGTGCCATATTTTCATTGGCCATTCATCAGTGGATGGGCATCTAAGGTGTTTGCAGTTTCTGGCTGTTTTAAATAGAGCACTAATGAACATTGTCTACAGTAAGATAGAGCACTCACTGGGGATATCTCCAAACGTTAGTATAGATCTATTTTCAGCTTTCTGAGGAACCTCCACACTTATTTCCAAAGTGGGTTCATAAATTTGCACTTGTACCAGCAGTACGTGAGTGTCCCCCTTTCCCTGCATCATCACCAACGTCTGCTATCATTTATTTGATTAATCTTGGCAGCTCTTACTGGCGTAAGATCAAAATCTCATAATTTTAATTTGCATTTACCAGAAAGCAATGGATTTTTTTTAAAAAGTAGTTCTCATCCATTTGTATTTTAATATTTGATAACGCTGTTTAATTCTATACCTCATTTTTAATTTCAGTTATTTGTTTTCTTTGTGTTGAGTATTTTAATTATATACTCTAAATACTAACTATCATCAGATGTATAATTGCAAAGATTAATTGACAAAGAAATCACACATGCTGTTGGAATAATTGTGTCCTATGCTAAGTAATGAACATTTTTGTAGGTTTAATAGTGTTCAAATTTCTAGAAACTCTCCATGTTTTCTTTCCTTGTTATTTGATGTACAATCTGAGGTAGCCCAAGCCACCGTCAACACATTATGCAGTCATGGATAACCTTGACTGTGTGATTTTTCCTGCCTCTACCTACCAACTGGTGTGATTATGAGTGTCCAATATCAGTAGGATGTCTTAACAAATTGCCTGCCACATTTGTTTTGGGAAAGAAAAAACCTCATATGCTAACAAAATTAACATTTTTGTACTTTGAAAGTTTTTTTCCCAGTAGAGATTTTCAAGTATACTTTTGTCCAATGAGAGGAGAAAACAAGTTCAATGCTCTATCGAAGAACAAATGTTTCCATATATTCTGAAAATCCACACTAATTTTTGCTTGTGAATATATAAAGTCACTTATCCTGTGTCATGGAAAATTTTGATAAAGATGAGACAATGATTTTACTATGGCAAAAAGGGACAGATTTTAGGATAAATTATATTTTATATATTACCACAACATATTTTTACATTTAGAGTGAGATTTATTCTGGTACAGATGAGGAATCTAAGTCTGAAAAAGGCTTAGGGGTCTTGCCTGAGATCCAAAGCTAGCAAAAGGCAGAGCCAGGAATAACACCCATTTTGTCCAATTTCAGCATCTTTGGGCCCATTTCTTCAAGTAGTGGGTACGGACTTTACACTACAAGTATGTGTATGCAAGTAACATTATATACTGCCGTCTACAGAAAGCAGATATATATTCCATGACCGCATCTCTCTGGACTGAGAAGAAACTGTGTGTTTGCAGCACTGTAGAATCCTGTACCAACAGAGAACATTTGTCCCGGAGACGTTCAGAAATCTAAGTAGCAGTATTCTTAGAGGAAAGATGTTTGTCAGCAAGATGAGTTATAAATTTAGTAGTTATTGATGGAGTTAAGCAAAAAGAACGCAATTTCTGAGTGTATTATCTGATACCATGACCCAGGGGCTCCTCTTAAACCGTGACTGACATGCTTGACCTCGGTTCCTTTGGAGTCTAATCTTTTACTCTGTAAATCAAATACTACATGACACTGGAAGTTCACCTCCTCTACCTTGACATCGCCTGATTAACTTCGACATATGATCCTCGACATTATGTCCTTCATATTTTGAAAGGGTAGCTTCTCTGTGTAGATGGATCTAACAAAGTATCCAATTGCGTTTTTCCCATTTTTCCCATCAGTCCTCCCAGTGTTTCCTCCAACTTTTAACAAATATTTATACTTACTGATTTTATAGTATTTTATATGATTTGTAAACTGTGGGGTTAAGCATAGATACATCCTCCTAAACATACTCTTTGGCCTCTAGTTTCTAATTTTAATAAAAATCCATGAAATCAAACTATTACTTATAAGTACTTGTATGTCTTTGTTAGTGTAAGTTAATTATTTTCGTGTTGTATTTTTGGTATTGAAGTCTCTAAATATGGTTAGATATCTGGTGTTTTATGTCACCATGATTAAGTAGTAATGTAGTATTTATTTCAAATCACATGAAGAAGTTGATCAATATAAGTAACAAGTTGCTATAAATATACATATTCTTTGAGTAATCATAAAAACAACATTAAAATAGCCTATTTATTTTCTGAATTAATATTCCTTACATAAATTTTACAGTAATTTTTACGGTAAAACTCTAAGGTGGAATATTCATATTAAAATTGACTTTTTAGGCCCAGTGGTTCAGAGATAAGGTATGATCACAGAAAATCTGAGATCTGATTATTTGCCAAGCTGGGCTTGGTGCCTGGATCACCAACATTCCGGCTATAATTGCACAATTCTGGGAAAACCCATAAATTATTACACAGTATTAATTTTAGGATGAAACTAAAGACCCATCATTGCTAGTGACAGCTGATACAAAATAGCTAATCAATGGAAAGAAACAGTAATACAGGTAATTCATGTCACCATGATGGAACTGCAGAATGCCTGGTTTCCTTCCTTTTCCACTTTTCTCTGCAATCCAAAATGGGATCTGAGAGTTATAGTTTGAAACCCTGCCATTAGCTCCATCAGAAATATTAAATGTTAAACCAACGGCTTATTGACCATAAAATGAATATCATTTGCTGTTATGCATTAGAAAATACTTTTATGTGATTAGTAGAAAAATTGCCAACACCACTATTTTATTTCAGTCTTTGGACAGGTTAATGAACCACTGGGAGGAAGAAGCTTACATGCAGTGTGCCAGAAAGGCTCCTGAGTTTATTCAGCTGTCACTTATGCCTAGCATGATACATCCTGACAGAGGGTTCAGAGCCAGGAGGCTCTGACCTACTTCTCAGGCATTAATTGTCATGCATACATATTATTCGCGTGCTATCTAGGGACATAAACATATTTCTGTATGTAGTTAAAAGTTTATTACTGTATCTGGGTACTTGACCTCCCCAAAGATGTGATGTGTTAAAAAAAGAAGAAGGAAGTGTAAAAGTGTTTGCTCTTCCCTGATGCCACCCCACAGATAGACTCTTCCTAGAGCACTGGTTCCCTTGTAGAGAAAGAAGGATGATTTTATATCCCTTACAAGGTAACTGAGTCTTATAAAGCACAGTAGGAGCATGTCAGTTACACAGAAATCGAGTAGGGGAATTGACAGCTGTGTTTAAATACTTTTTAATGGATTGTGTGCACAGAAAATAAAATAAAAGTCATCTAGAAATGTAATCTAATTGTTATTTTTCTTCTCTATCAAAAAATAAATTGAGTCATTTTACATCATTCTAAATTTTGTTTTTCCAAGAGCCATTGGCACAGATCTTACATGGCAAACCTGAGAAAATTAAAAAGTTACCTTAGTTCTGCCAAAATAAGTCTTGCTCTCGGCCTGTGGACTTTTTCATTTGTACCATGCTCACAGCTACCAAAAGAACAAACCAGCAAACAAACAAGGAAAACGCCAAACCACCAACCTGAGTAGCCGTTTGGCAAGTCGTAGCTCTTTCAGTTCATTTACTTCATTTGTCTTCTCCAAAGTTGAAACAAATTAAAGTACTCTATGTTGGACGGGAATACTCAACTTCTCTTTGATTTACTGACGTACTGAACACACTTCTGTGAATAAACGGAACCTTTCTTTTGTTTCAATCTGCAGGACAACATTTTTAAACTACAGGACTCCCATTTTGAAAACGGTCGTGGGAAGAGTCCTTATGACCCCAAACTACTGACAGCCTCTCTCCTAATAGGTATGTAACCAAAGATCAACTACATAGCGAATCTGCTATAACCAATGTCAAGGTGGCCCATTCCACTTTCACCTGCCAAGATCTGTCATTTTTCTTCATGCAGTTTCAGAAGGAGAGCAACAGTTGTGCTGTTCACAAATATTTTTAAAGGAAATAAAAAAATATTAATTCTTGGTTGTGATTGCCTTACTCAAACTGATTTGTGTTTTAGGAAATAGGTTAACTATTGAGAATAGTTGGCTCAAATGTTATACATCATTCACTGAACTTTAGTTTTTGCTTTTGGAAGTATTATTTCATTTTCATTTGATGAATAAATTGAATGTAGGCTTTGAGATATGATTTAAAAAGATGGCATTATGTGCCATCATGAGAAATGTACTTCAGGACATCACTGTGTCAACGTTTGGACCACTTCTCCAGCATGATTAAGCCAAGTAGTGGTACCATTCATTGGCAGAGACTCCCTGGTGCATCTTGTTTGACTCGCTGGAGTATCTTGTTGTATATGGCAGCGTAAGAAAAATATTCTGTCATTATATTTTCTGGCTTTAAGATTTTATCATCTTCTCTGCTTAAACACTAGCATAATGGCCTAGGAGACTTACTTTTATTTTACTTTCATCTCTAGCCTTTTTCTTTTTTCTTTTTTCTTGAATACGTACAAAGCTAAAGATCAGAGTCAGGGATAGAAGTAGGAATGTTAGTCTGTATGAAGTGTGAAGAATTTTTACTCGTTCACTCACCAGAAAACTTGGCTTAATGAGATAGAAGCTAAAAGTATAGAGTTATGGGTGTGTTCTTCCTCACTCCCACCTCCTCTTCTTTCTTTCCTTTTAACATTTTTCATTCTTCTTGCCTTTTTTAGTTACATGTATCAGCAACCCTATACACATTATATTTGTACTCTTTTCTATTAAGTGGTTACATTAAAAATAATGAAACATCAAAGTTTAGAATTTTTAAAAGTAAATTAAGGCTTAGCTCATTTTGTATAAGTTTAATGTGTTCCATTTCTTCCCTTGTCAAAGTGCTTTTTATACTCAAGAAAATTAAACTTTAGTTACAGAGACAACTGTACTAACCACAGAGATATATATCCAATATGGTCCAGTGTTTATTTTATCAGCAATCTTTGCTCCATTTAGAATAAAATTTTACAATATAAATTACCTCTTTTATGGCTCTTCAATCTAGACAATTCTAGTCTATTTGATCCCTTTATGAAACATTTTTTAAAAGACTTTTTAAACCTGAAGGACAACTGCCGACTTAGCAAATGTGTAATTTTCCTGTTAATGGGTGACCTGGTGTTTACATGTGCATGCCTTCCTCATGCATCCAGGCTGAAATTTGAAAGTTGTCTCACACAATGAGGGAAATCATGCCTTGTTCTAACTTGCAACCTGTATTTATTTAAATGGCACACAAAAAAATGAAACATATTACTCAAAAAGCAGTCTGTACAAGTATGCCTAAAGCTGAGTTAGCTTGTGGTATGTTCCTCTGAAGGGATTTGCTTATTTATTTTATTATTCCACCGAGAAAGGCTGATGACAGTCAGTATTACATAGCTCGTATGGCATGCAGCCACACAAGGCCCACGAAGGAAAAGAAACTCCAAAGTTTGGTCTTATATTAGGGTTTCTTTGAAATAGATGTATAGGTTGATGAAAGGGAGGAAAGGATGACTGAAGTTCAGCGAGAGGATATGTGGCAGAGAAGGAACAAGAGACCTTTCAGAAACACATGCTTTCCGTGGGAGTCCAGACCTAACACACCCTCTCCAGCAAAATGCGTCCATAACTTTCAGAGCAATGAAGTACATATTCATAAAGTCAAATAAAGTAGTTCTGAATCAGTTAAAAATAAATGCAAATATAAGAACAGCTCCACTCAGATCAGGTAAGAATAATCCCTTAAAACATCCACAATGACATTTTTTTTCGTTTTAAATATTTATTTATCTGTTGAGTGTGCTGGGTTGTGTCAGTGCTCCAGCACCACAGATGTGTGTGGAAGTCAGAGGACACTCTCAGACGTTGCTTCTCTCCCCACTCTATGTAAGTCCTGGGGTGATGGAGGAAGGACATTGGTTAATTATAATAAAGAAACTGCCTTAGCCCATTTTATTGGTTAGAACATAGGTGGGTGGAGTAAACAGAGAGAATGCTGGGAGAAAGAAGCTGAGTCAGGAGTCGCCATGATTCTCCCATACCAGACAGATGCAGGTTAAGATCCTCCATGGTAAGCCACTTCATGGGCTACACAGAATATTAGAAATGGGTTAGATTAATATGTAAGAGCTAGCCAATAAGAAACTGAGATTAGCCGGACCAGACAGTGTTTAAGAAAATACAGTTTCCGTGTAATTGTTTCGAGGCATAACCTAGCCATGCGGGCAGCCGGGTGCCGGGGACACAGCCCTGCTGCTCCTAATTCAACAGAGTGGCGCCCAACATGGGGCTCCAAATGTGGCGGTTTAGATTAATGAAGACCAATAGTAATAGTAATTGAACAACTTTAATGGAAAAACCAGACTCATGAAACCAAGGTTCCAGTGGAGTACCAGAAGCAGGAAGGGCCGCGCGGCTTCTGCGCACCCAATTTATCAGTAAACATTCGCCCGAGGCGAGCCCGGGGCGGGCTTATCCCTACACTGGGGATTGGACTCAGGTGGGCAGACTGGTGGCAAGCGACTTTATCTACTAATCCACCATTGCAGCCCATGCAGCGTCATTTTACTTCAAGGGCTATAACTTCCTTTGTTGCGGTTGTTTGCTTTGGCAGTGTATTACAAATTCTCCTCTCATGGTACATAAAATATTCTTTATTGGCTTTGGGGCATTTTCTCTTATACTTCTTGAACATGAATAGTCACTGGCCTTATGGGTCTTTTGAACACAAATATTTGCTACATTGATTAAACTTGAATATAGAGTATTAACCACCTCGGAAGTGTGTACAGGAGGTGATGTACAGATGAGGGGTTAGCCACGTGGCAGTCCTATCTTCTCATATGACTTGGGGATTCTTCCTCATTTCAGCACAAAAAAGAGAAAATCTAAGGCCGCTCCTTTCCCCAAACCTAGGCTTCACTCAAAACATCTGTGACGTGGTCTTGGCAGAAGGTGTTTTTCATACTTGCAATGCCAAGATAAAGCTGTTCCAACCAAAACTAATTGTTAAAAACCAGCAGAGAGTTTACACAAACTGTGGAAGTTTTGTAAAATCTCCTTTCAAAATCCCAAAAGCTTACAAGGTTGACTATAGGTTTGTTTCCCTTGCCCAATGCATAGCTACCCAAAGTGCCCAAATCTGGCGTGGTAGCACATGCCTCTAATCCCAGCACTCAGGAGGCAAGGGCTGACAGATCTTTCTGAGTTCGACATCAGTCTGGTCTAGGAACCTTGTTCTAGGACAGCTAGGACTGTTACATAGAGAAACCCATCAAAAAAAAAAGTGCCCAAATCCAGTTACGTGTTCTAAATTTTTCAAGTCACCTTAATAAAGTTACTTTGCCAATCTTTTAAAATAATAAGAGTACTGCAGAATTTATTTTTAAAATATCTCTTCTTCCACCTGCACGTATTTTTCAACTTTGTTTAAAATATCCTTATTAAAGATAGCATTTGCTCCCCTGTTCAGTATAAATACCAGGTGTGAGGAGAACACAGGAATAAAACCTAGAACTTCCCACACCAATTAAGGAGTAACTCACTTTTTCATGATATGAAAGAACAGCCAACCCGAGAGCAATTTTATTTTCTCACTGAAATATTTACCAGGTCATGCAGACTAATAATTTAGATATATTCCAAAAAGAAGAGATATTGCTGAGGTCTATTTCAAATGTCTGAGGTCGCCCTCACGTATATATGTTCAGGCTGAAACTTTGCCTTACTCAGGAAGGAATATATTCTGGGATTGGAAATGTGTTCAATGGATCTTAGAATAGGCAGGGTATTCCCTAAAATAGTTAGATATTGATACAGACATTATTTGAGCCTCTTTCTGAGCCTCAGTTCCCTGATATGTAAGATAGTAGGCTATGCTAATTTCGCCAGCTTCTTGCGAGATTTAACGGCACAATATAATCGAGAGAGGTTGTTTGCGTGTACATCCATTTCTGAGGTCCGGATGAAGGGGGATACACAGAAACGCATATTAATAGCTGCCTATGAGGAAGCTGGGAGGTACAGTTGGAGTCTTATAAATCTTATGTTTGAAACTGTGTTCCATGTGAACACATTGCTTCAGAAAAGCATCATCATTAAGACAACAGCATACGGAACAAAGTCTGCACTCGTATGTTGCTATACAGACAGCGGCCGTACGGAAGAACCCGGGTCAGACTTTCTCTGCACCCCTCCACTGCACCATGGGTCTGATTCCTTCAGCGTGGGTTGCGTACAGAAAGGCGGGGGAGAGCAGCTTGGCTTCTTCTGTTTCTCATTAACCGTCTCTCTGTGAGGAAAATTTACCTAAGGTGTTAACAACGTAATAGCCTGGTCTTTAGGTTTGTTTGATATCCGCTGACATTCAGGCCGCACTCCTCACCTGGGCCAGAAACGCTGCAATTTCATCGGGGAATTTATTTTCCCTCCTTCAGTTTCGCCTCGCCACACCCTTCGTAGGAATTGTAATCCAAGACATTAGCTGATCTAAGCCACATTGTTCCTTCATTTGGAGCTGTGAACAGAAATTCTAGAGTGCGTGTGAACTTTTGTTTTTAAAGCATGCTTCTCGGGAACTCAGCCGTGGTGGATGCGGAGGTCGCAAAGCTGTTTCCATTCATCCCAGTAAATTATACTTTCCTTAGGCAGACTTTAAAGGTTACAGTTAAGACAGAATGGATGTGTGTTCAAATAGCCGTCTTGGTCTTTGCTGCCTTCTAGACAGTTTAGTTTTATCTGTCAGCACCGCATACTCATCATCGATTGGATTAGTTTTAAGCCATCAAAAAACGTGCCATTTCTATACATAGATGCTTTATGATCTGGCTGGTTAGACAGTGTTCATAACCTTGAACATGTTACTGAACCATCAGCTTAACACAAGTAGACACAGTTCATGTTTTCTTTCACTCATGGATTATTTTACATAAAGAGCTCAAGAATTTGTATCAGTAGTATTGCCATTCAAAACACACACACACACACACACACACACACACACAATAGCAGCACCTCATATCTTTAATAATGTGTCAAAAGTACACATTAACATTATGCTCACGAATTAGTATTTATTTGATGACCTTAAAAGTAGCCTAAAAATGAGAAAAAAAATACAATTAGTCGAATTTTGCTGTCACTGTTACACTTACTTGTTCCCCAAAATAAGCCCTTCAAGCTATTGCACATTATGTAAAGTCAAAAACACGTGGATAACTTTAGAAAGACAAAACCTTGACACACTTTAGTACTTCCCGGAAGTGTTCAAATGTTTTAACTGGCACAGATGGGGGTTGTCGCTATATTTCTGCTTAACAACAACAACCAAAGAGGTAAGAGATGGCCATTTTGCCAACTAGACCATCAGCCAAAATAAGAACAATGTCTTGTTATATTTTCTATGTAACCATCACCCTTGCTAAGAATTTCCATAGAAATATAAGAAGGGAATTGTGTCTAAGGCTAAAAGCAAAAAAACAGCTACTGACAATTAGCAAAGACAAGAAGAGATCTTGCCCTGAAATGCCTCATAAGTACCCGATATAATCCGTCTCAGAAAAACTAACACCACCTTCTGCAAAAAGTAATATTTGGGTGAAAGGTGATTTCCCATGACAACTGATACCTAAACCTCCACCTCCCGTTTGTTCAAAAGTCAATTTCTAAATTTAATTATCTTCTCAGTAAACATTGAGCTCTTCTGCTTGGTCCAAATCATCTTCCCATCTGTTGTGCAAATAGAAAGAAAATAACTCTCTGCTCGGGAATCTTTCTCTGATGCTGAGTTCTTTCATCCTTGCATGACAGTGAACAAGAAAAATAATATACCCCAGATAACATGTAAGAGAAGCAAATACCTTCCCAGAGACAGAGATGTTGGTTGTTACGGGCTTCTCAATTCTCTTCGGAGTCATTTTGTAACAGAAGCAGTAATTCTGTATTCCATTTCCTCTTAAGAGCAAGCTGGCCAATCGAATGACCACGGCTTTATATTCTTTACTGTATACGATGTAGGCTTTGTTGGGTGTGATTTGCGGACAGTAAGCTGTTCAGGTCATCTGTAGTTTCAGTTTCGCCTGACTTGGTTTTCACATGTAACTTGGGTGTTCTGGTTGTGAGCCTGCATTTAATCGCTGAGCCATCCCTCCAACCTGTCATGCACAAGTCTAACCATCATCCTCTTGGTCTTACTGACCAAAAGAAATATGTGATATGTATTTAGCACCGCCTTGTTAAAGTTGAAGGTATTAGTTTTGTGAAAATGCTTAAATATAGATAAATTATAAGCTATCAATAAGCCCGTAAATATTCCAAAAGCCTTTAAAATAAATGAGTATTTTCTTCAAAGTAATGCTGAATTTCTGTCGGGCAAAATGTTACAGTATCATAGGTTATACTTGCATTTAGTATTTCCTTAGGTAAAGAAGGAACAAAATACTTTGGAGTCCCAGCAATACCATGTTTAGGATGACCTGTGAGTAGTCTTAATAGCACTATCTAATTGGAAACTTGTAATAAATTACTGTCTAGGTAAATAATTTGTTCATCTAGAGTCACTGCAATCTAAAGCAAATAATTTTAAGTTCACTTATAAAAAGGATAGGCAGTTTTAAAGTGATTTTTTTTCTCTGCCTAGTATCCAATGTCTAGGGACTCCTCAAAGTCCAAGAAACTCTTCAGAAAACTAAACATGGTGGCACACACTGTGAATTCTAGCAATCTGGAGTCAAGAGAAGATAGACCTGTGAGTTCAAGGCCAGCCTGGTTCACAGAAAGAGTTCTAGGCCAGTCAGGGTTTCATAGTAAGACCCTGTCTCAACAAAACAAAACCAATCAACCAAACACGAAACTTCAAGACGGCAAAGTTCCAGTGGAATGGTTGATTTGGGTTAGAGAATATCTAGTTTATGCAAGGTTTCTGTGAAAACTGCATACATAACGAAAGGATGACATGTAAGTGATGATATTAATGAAATAAGCCAAAAGCATTTATACCAGAAGACTGACAGACAATTCTACATTTCTACATATTGCAGTATAGTAGCGGAGGGGAATGAGAGCTATACACATATTTAACTTGTTTTTCTAAGCTCTCTTTGCTTGATGACTATTTTGAAGTTAAAGATTATGAGAATCTAATAATCAAAAAATGTTTTAAAATTCTGTGTTGTTTGTAGAAGTGTATCTCATCTCTTGAATTGTTTTGCTTTGTAAATAAACCAGTTAACTCTAAGCAATTTAGTGCTTATATGTTATCTAGAAGAAAGAATTTGAGGTGCTCTCTGTCTCAATGACATAAGACATACATTTTGCAAACTTCATTTAATTGAAAGGCATGCCTTAGCTTAATAGCCTTAGAATTAAACAGGCTTGGATGTGAACCTTCACCCAGGCTACCCTAACTATTAAGCCCATCACCCTTGGCCTTCCTGAATGTAAAACAGGGGCGACATTCTTTTCCCTAGAGTATGTTGGCAGAACTGAAAGAGATCATTAGAAAGAGTTAAGGCAGACTGCCTGACAAGCGCAAGATAACATTCAGCTGGTGTAACTTCTCTTTCTTGTCCTCCATTCCCATCTCTGCTCTTTTCTTTTTACATCCTAATAACGATGCTTCCGTTACTAAACTGGGGCTGAGGGTTCATACACTTTCAGGAGCAAAACACCAAGAACAATGGAATCGAGAACTCAGACGGTTCAACCCGGGGCTTCTGAACTTGCTTACGCTTCAAAATTAGTTTTGTTGAAGGCCTGCTGTCAGACTTTCTGATACCTTATACCAGTCTGAAATATCTTCCATACCGGAATTCTAAAAACTAAAAAGCAAGAGTATGATATGGCTAAGTAGATAAAGTAATGACAGGACCACTGTGACCCCAGATTTGGTTTTCCCAGAAACGACATAAAAAAAAAGTGTTGAGGTTGCAAGGCTGCTGGGAATGGCTGCCCATAATGGGCAGAGTCAGGATAACTCCAGAGAGCGAGCTAGCTAAACTCGCTGACATTGGTTAACTCCAGGGTCAGCAAGATCCTGCCTCAGGAAGGGCAGAGTAGAGAGCCATGGTAACACCGTCTAAGGTCAACTCCAGGCCTTCACACACTTCAACAAGAGTGTACCCCCACACAGGCAAACCGCAAGCCAATGTACATGTAAAAATTAAAGTAAAAAAAGGAAGAAAAATTTCAAGGAAAATATTGTTTCTTATAATACCATCTCATTCATCAGAACCTATTGGAAAATAGTTCATCAAACATTTAAGTATCCCTAAAACAAGTTAAAAATAAGGTTATTTAAACAATAAAGGGAGGGCGGTGGTGGCGCACGCCTTTAATCCCAGCACTCAGGAGGCAGAGGCAGGAGGGTCTCTGTGAGTTCAAGACCAGCCTGGTCTACAAGAGCTAGTTCCAGGACAGGCCCCAAAACCACAGAGAAACCCTGTCTCGAAAAAAAAAAAAAGGAGCCATTAAACAATAAAGGGTTACCCATATAAAACTATGTGATAAATAAAGGTTTTACTCTTCCATTTTTTAAAAAATTTCATCAATGAGGAAAATAGTAAAAATTTCAGGTTTAGCTGAATTCTCTGAATCAGGCTTTATTCTGATTTTCTAACTTCTCACTGACCCGTTGCTAGGACCCTCCTTTCAGAACTCGGGGATGAAATACAGACAGCTTTGCATATTGATGGAAGAAGCATTTGTTGGTAACATGAAAATGACATGGTTGCTGTTTTGCTTTTCTTGCTCTGCCTCAGTTAAATAACACACGCTTGGTTTCCTTCTGTGCCAATGCAGACGGGGAGCTATACTCTGGAACGGCCGCCGACTTCATGGGCCGAGACTTCGCCATCTTCCGGACGCTGGGGCACCACCACCCGATCAGGACGGAACAGCATGACTCCCGCTGGCTCAATGGTAGGTTGGATGTGCACAGGCGTGGAACATGACCCTATTGTCACTGCGAAGGTTTCCTTTTGCAGGACAGACAGCTACTCTAGATTCAGGAGGCTGTTAGGATAACGGCGATGACCTCACCACCGTGGGTGTGAGAAAATTGGGAAAACAGAAGAGAAGATTAAAAACTGAGGAAATATTTGCTCTGTGCCAAGTGTGAAGGTTCTCAGGAGTCAGCTGTGGAAAGAAAGGGTCTGGGCTGAAAGCGCGGAAGGGAGGCAATGGAAAAGATACCGTCTTCCGGGGCCAGCACAACAAATCTCAGTGCAGTAGCTCTTTTCCTCCGTATCTCTCTCTGCTCATTGCTTTGAGAGCATCATTCCAAGCCTTGACGTCAAAAGTGCTTTCCCTGCCAAGTGCATTATATTTAAGGGCTTTCACCTGACCCTTACTGCTCTCATGCAATCAAGCAAACAAAAAACAACCACTACTTCATTTTATAGACAAGGAAATGAAGACCTACCTACATACACCAAACCCTGTACAGTTTTGTATAAGGAAATCTCAGTTTTCCCTAAGTCAAGCACTGGTCTAACTGCTTGAGACGTAGATGCTTTTTGTAATTTGTTCTCACTTCTTAGTGTTTAAATCACGTTAGCATTACATAAAATGTGCAGAATGCACAAGCTTTTAAATAAGCAAAGAGATTGTCGTTTAGATTATGAATTCATCATTATATGTCTGCCTGTCAACTTTGATGATTATTTTCTTTCTTATTGACTTACACACAATAATCGAGTATTTATTTATAATGATCTTTATGATATTATGAGAGTAGCTTCTATGATGTAATTTAAAGTTTGTATTTCTGCTTTCTCGGTCACATGAACTAACGTTGCCCGTTCCTAATGTCCCCTATTTGGAGTTGTGCGTTGTTCCGCAGGCTTCCTTAAGGAGTGTAAGTTTAGGGTGGACTTCCTGCAGGATGCCAGACTGTCTGACTCTGAAAGTCTGCTCCACCTTTGCTGGGAAGAACTAGCAAAGCTACTGTGTGGCCTCTATATCCATTTGTCTGTTAAAAAAAAAATGACACCTGCCTCTGGCTCTCAGTGAAACTTCAGGGGAGTGAGGGATCTTTATGAGAATTTTGTTTTATCAGCACCTTGCTTTAGAGCGGTCACTCAGAACATAAGACAGGCCTCTCACCACCCAAGTCTGCATCTCTTTCCTTCTGTGGCAAGGCTTCTATTGGACTAGTCTCTCTCGTGGCTAGGAACAAAGGCACAGAACCTGTCTCACGTAGTCTTCCTGCCATTATTTCTTAATTTAATTGCTACTTTTTGTTGGTTATTTTATTGCTAGTATCTTTTAGTGTCATTTTTCTTTGCCATTTATTGTATTGTGTGTGGGGGGGTGGTACATATATGTGTGAGTGTGCACATGCCCAGCATGTGCTCTGTGGAGTCAGGAAACTACTGAAAGGTTTTCTTCTTCCACCTTGTAAGAGCTGAGAACCAAACCCAGGCCATCGCACTTAGCAGCAACCCCAGAAATCCCCTTTACCCTGAGCCAGCTATCCAGCACTCCTATTTCCTTTTGCAAAGATGTCTTCCCATGACTTGAAACTTGGATCCATTGTCCCATGCAAGCTGCTTCTTTTATGTATGCTCAAGTTCATTGTCTGTCTGGGACTCTTAACCTTCAAAATTTTCACCACTGTTTACTGATTTCAACTTAACTCCAACAGTCTACTCCATGACCCTCTTCGAAGGGCACTCCTGATTTTCCCTGCTTCTCACCTAGCTCCGTTGAACTAGCCCTGCAGGATTCCCTAATATGTGTTCTCAAAGCAATCACTTCTCTGTGTCCCTTACTTCTTGCTCTCGCTAACTTCTTTAAATTAGGCTTCAGGTGCTGATTGTTGTTTTACATACAGAAAATGATGAAGATCATTCATGACCGAGTGTGACTTCGTAGTAATAAATGGGTATCAGGCATACAGTCAATTTTTTTACCCTGTTAGCAGCACAGGAAATATGTGATGGCTACATACTCCGAGGAGTTGGAAGTCCCAGTGAGGAACAGAGGAGATGATGAGGCCTTGATGAAAAGGGCGTGCTTAAAACTCAAGAGAGAGCTGGGGAGAGAACTGTAAATTATCCACCACCAGTTACTAAAGCTAGCGTGGTTTGTGGGGGGTGCAAAGTTAGTAGGGAAACCCCTGTTTAACATCACTATCTAGTCTGTTCCCCAATGGAAATATTTGTGTGGGAGAGAAAATGTTTGTTTTTTATTCAGGAACAAAGCGCCTTTGATCTACCAAGAACTCGAGCAGTCGTACAGGCTCTCGCTGTCCATGAGAAAGCAAATCAGATTAGAAGATGGACAAAGGAGAGTATAGTATTCGTTTCATTTTCATGGCCTTAAGGAAAAAGTCATCAAGCCAAAGCCACTTTTATGCTGCACACACACACATGTTGACAGCTGGCGCTGAAGAATTCTCACTGTGGGAAAGCAGATCATTGTCCGCAACTCTATTCTTCAGCCCTGAAAATGTGTGGCTCATTTGAGAATTCAGTTATCAGTCTCTCGGCACTAAATGTGAGAACTGATTTTTTTTCCCGAATTAACAGAAAGGTTCCATCTGACAGGGTGCAGAAACCACATTGCTCAGAGTGTGGAGATACTGGTGTCTTCCAGACAGGGCCAGAGGACTGCGAAACCCAGGCTTTGAGAAATCAGATACTATTTTAGGAAAAAATGGAAACAAAATGTTGACATATTCCTGCAAAAAAAAATGAGTGTGTTTTGGGGCATCGGCATAGACCACAGAATCAACATTATTGCCAGATATAATGTACTGCCTGGTATGACATTTGTCAGGGGTCTTCAGGGCTATTGAATTAATTTGGGTTCATGCCTTCATGCATTTCCCCAATTAATCCATTTCTTTTGGATGAGCAAATGAATCACTTTTATGTGGTTTTTAATGTTTGCTCATGCTGAAAAAAAAAAACACAAATGCAGTTCTGTAGAATTCTATCTTGAATTACCCTGACTTTGTAAATATAGCCTCCCTACTTTAACGCTTCTTTTAAAAACCAACACACCTTTATAATAGTGCCAATAAAGTTTTTAGTCCAGTTTGAACAAGAAAGAATTGCAAGAAATCATAAAAAAACACAATATTTGAAATCTATGTATGTTTTTACAAATTAGTTTATGATAGCTGTCCTCATGCTTTAGGACAAACCCTAATTTAAGTTTCCTGGTGATTTAAATAATTTCTCATGTCAGATACGTGCAACATGAGTTTAACATGTTCTAAAAGTCACGCTTTCCCCTTGTGCTTCTTAAACTCCCTCAATAGGGTACAGTTTTAAACTTCAATTCCAGTTTCAGCTTCTAGTAATTTGGAAATCAAGTTAACTTTTTCTGTGTATATTTGTGGTTAGAAAACAAATCTCTGCTGCTCTTAGGGTAATCCTTCCTTAGCATTTGGTGGGCTATCTAGTTACTGTACCCTTTAGCCACTCATTCAAATAGATGGATGACTAGCTCAAATTTATTATTATTTTTGTTTGATGAAGACTGCTTTACACATTTTTCGTGTTCTTGACTAAGAGTGGAATGCTGCGTAATTTCAAGGAAAATCCACCAGCTTCAAAATGACATTTCTCTTAGACTCTGACCTTTTATCTGTGATGGAAAGATAATACGGACGACTTCCTATAATTACTATTTAAAACAAGTCAGATAGCCTCCATAAAAAGCACGGCGATGCTGAACCTTCCCAGGTGTTTACACGTTAGCCTGCTCTGTCCTGTAGCGTGTTGCTTTGGCCAGGGAATGCCCGGGAATGTGTAGGGCTCTCTCTGTCAATGGTTACATTGGAGTGAGGGTTAAAGGGCAAGCTGGTCCTGGCTTGGGTACAATGAAACCACACGGATCCTTGAGAGATCCGAGGCCTGGTGAACACAAACAGACCTAATTACATGCCCAGAGTGTGAGGCTTTCCCATTCATTGCTGGAAGACCTGTTTTCTTTTAGTGGAATTTCCTAAAAGGATCGTGCCTGTGGATAAACTGGCCCGCTTGTTTTCCTTCTCCCTTTTTTCTTTCTCTGTAATTGAAATGGTATGCAAGTCATCATTGACTTCCTCTCCGAGCCATTCCAGGATGGCCTGCCCTCATTGGAATCAGCACAACTTCCTCTGTGGTCATGTTCTAGGATATTGCACATTCTCGAAAGATTCGAGTTTCTCCACAGGATGCATTCTTAGAAAAAAATAAAACCAAGAAACATGACTTCAAATAAAACGACAAGAGCACAGATTAATATTGGAACCAGAGACCCAGTCTTGAATCGCCTGTGAAACACTTTTAATAAACAGTTTTAATTCTAACATGGTTAAAGACATAAACCATGTCAGAGGTCCAATGGCATTGTTCTTTAATAAGTAAAGAAGTGAAGAACCTATTTTATATAATCTCGGAATTTTTCATGATTTCATTTTGCGTTATTTCAGTGACTTGAGTAAACGAGTATATTTCTCTGACCCTTGGAGGAAAGCCTCTGTATCAGGACCACTTCCAGAAGCTGAGCATTCATGTAGTTAAAACAAACAAACAAAACCAAACAAAATCCAAAAACAAACAAACAAAGCAAAACAGACAACCAATTTGAGGACACTTCCCTGAGGAATATTACCTTAATTCTTTGTCTAGCTGTGGGAGCTTCCTCTTTTATGACTGCATGCCTGTTGGTGTAGGGCTTGTGGAGGTATTGTTTAGGCACTCATGTTGTTGAGCGTTTATGGATGTAGCTTCCCTGACATGTTTAGAAGATGCAATCTCATAGAGACATCCTGTTCCTCGGACTCAGTTTGGGGTATGAGCTAGTCCTAAATGCATACAAACAAATAACATTGTTATTACTCCAACTGAGCAGATAGTATTTTTATATTTAGAAATATCCACATACATTTATAATTGGTGATATATATATATATATATATGACT